TGCAGTCCCTAAGTCCGCGCTAAGTCGTGGTGGGTTTCGCAAACGGCTTAATATTTTATGGCCATAAACGTGCGATGGTCACATTGTGCCTACATGAGCAACCTACGTAGTAATTATGATCCAGTGTCGAAAGCTGTGTACTTAGTGCTATCGATATAATTTAACGACAGTTTAAAGAACTGTTAAGTTATCGATATTAAGAATAGTCAGGTATCAAATTAAGTGAATTCAGGATATTATCATGGAAATTAGAGTTTCAGGCGAGGTTGCGGATTCGAATCCCACGAGGCAAAAGGTATTATTAATTCAAAGTTTTGTCCTGGACAATTATAGTAATTAATTCTTGTATTGTGTTGTCTATGGTATTGTCGATGATACTGAATAAACGTTTCTTCTTTCTTTGTTTCTAATTATTGAAACCACATAATTAGTATTTACTAGCGGCCACCCGCGACTTCGTACGCGTGGATCCCGTTTTACCATAGAAATGTTTTTTCCCACTAACTCCCGTTCACGTGGGAATTTGCAATATCCTCTTGTAACTAAACTTTAAGTTTACTAAGGTACCTGCATGCCAAATTTCAAGCGTCTAACTAAAGCGGTTTAGATTTTTCATACAAAAGGATTTTCCCGCTAATTCCCGTTCCCGTGGAAATTTTGCAATGTCCTGTTGTAACTAAGCTTTAAGTTTACTTAGGTACCTGCATGCCACTATAGTTATTTTGAAAATATATTTCATGTAGGTACAGAATTGACCTCTCTACAGATTTATTATAAATATAGATTGCACAAACAAGTCTGGTGGCTCAAGAAAAGTACTAAGTTATATCCTACTAGCTTTCCGCCCGCGGCTTCGCCCGCGTGGAATTTTGTCTGTCACAGAAAAACTTTATCGCGCGCGTCCCTGTTTCAAAAACCGGGATAAAAACTATCCTATGTTCTTTCCCGGGACTCAAACTATCTCTATGCCAAATTTCATCAAAATCGGTTGCGAGGTTTAAGCGGGAAAGCGTAACAGACAGACAGACAGACAGACAGAGTTACTTTCGCATTTATAATATTAGTTGGGAAGTTGGGATTCATGTAACCTTTTGGTTGACAAACAAATTTTTTTGACAAGTGTTGGTCATGGAAAATAACCCATATATTTACATGCCACCGCTGTATCGATATATCGATTGATCGCTATCGTATCGATCACCTCATTAGTAATTCCGGCGCACACGCACGAATCCGGGACACGTCGATTCGATTCTATTTCGACACGTACACCTAAATCCTGGTTGACACAAAAATCCCACAAATGATGATGTTTATCATACTGATAGCAATAGCATATTATCTAATAATCGATAGCAAAGTTAAACAAGTAAATATTTTTTTAGATTTGTTTTGCTTTTAGGCTTAACTGAATGTTAATATTTAGCACTTGTTTGGTTAATTTAAAAAACCAACTGATTAAATAATGGACGTCTGTTTTTGCAATGGTCCGTGACCCTCACACTGAAAACCAGCGCTGTGGCATTCGTCACCGTGGGCCACGGCATAATAATATGCTGAGTGGGGTCCCGTTGCAGTGGGCATCTTGTTGGTGAATGGGTGGCACTGCTCAGTTTACTCTTGTTTTTATTTTTTTCTTCTTCCATTATTATGTGCCACTGTCATGCCTATGTAATTGCCTGTATTTGTGTGATGTCCATTGTATTAAATGTATATTTTTTTCTTTCTATTTGTAAATTCATCATCATCATCATCATCATTTCAGCCATAGGACGTCCACTGCTGAACATAGGCCTCCCCCAATGCTTTCCATGTTGATCGATTTTTAGCGGCCTGCGCCCAGCGCTTCCCTGCTACCTTTACGATGTCGTCGGTCCACCTTGCAGGTGGACGTCCCAAGATGCGTTTTCCGGTACGCGGCCTCCATTCCAGAACCTTACTGCCCCATCGGCCGTCAGTTCTGCGTACTATGTGCCCTGCCCATTGCCACTTCAGCTTGCTAATCCGTCGGGCTATGTCAGCGACTTTGGTTCGTTTACGTTCGTTTGATTTATTTGTAAATTAGCCCAATTAATTTAATGAAGAACTAGGCCAAAATGTTAAATCAATAGGTTTAAGAAGACATTATTTAAAATTATTAATTAAGAAAAACATCAATGTTCATAGTTTTTAAACATTAAGTATACCCAAGTTGCAACTGCAAAATTATTTTTTCCATACGTAACATGTTTTTTTAGAATATTAATTTTAATAGTTTATTTTAAGTTCGTAACATAATAACATAAGGCACGCACGGCATCTGCACACAAGCGACATATATGGCGGTCAAGCTGTAGATCCCAGGATCTATTATATATTATATATATTATGTAGCCAGCTACACAGGAGTTGCAGAGGTGGGAACGAGAGGTGGGAATAGTCCTGAAGCGACACGTCATGTCTTTTCACGCGTGCGAAGGGTGCGCGCCCGGCATTGATAAATAGCTTTTCTAAAGGTCAAGTTTTCGTGACACCACTGACAGGTTGATTTATTATCGCCGTGACGTCATAACAGACGTCATACTGTACAATGTACGAATGTGACCGAGTTACCGATGCGGCAAAGTGTGATTTATCACTCTACAAAAGGTTTCGTTGTGGAAAATAAATCTTTTATTGTGTGAGTTTTTTTTAAATTCGTATACGTATTTTATTGGTAAATAAATAGCAACTATAAGAATGACTACTTTTTTTTTGCATGATGGATCAATCATTCAAATAAATGTTACAAAAGTTGAAAAACGTTGGAGTAATATAACAATACGAAAAAGTTTATTTATTTTAAAAGAATCTGAATAAATAACTGCCCAATTCATAAAAGTTTTCATTAGCCCGTATCGTTCCAACTAAATCAATTAAATCGTGTGTTTAAAAGTGAAGTGACAAGTTAAATGTAACAGTTAAGATTCAGTAATAATATATTTAATTTACGATATGCCTTTTATTAAAAAAACTTTAATGCTTTCCAAAAGCGCAAGCGTATTGAATGACTGACTAAACTGTAAACAAAATTCGACCGAATGACAATTGAAGAGGAATGAACGATCGCCTAAATGACGTGTGTGAGCGAATCAGTGAACACAATCAACCGCTCTTTCGTTCACTCCATTTTGGATGTGCTCGCAACAAGTTATTGATTTGTTTGGCAGATAACTAGAGAACGAATGACCGGTTACCAAATGAATGAATAAAAGGGTAGTGAATAAACACTACTCTGTGTTAACGAACGAATGAGCAATGAACGATAACAATTCGGTCGTTCGACTGAACATTACCGACCACTGTAGGTACGAGAACTAGTGACCGCCATTTTCACTTTCATGTTGAATGAGTTAGCAACAAGTTATTGATTACTCGTACCTTGTTATGTTAGTACGTGACCGGAATGAATGATAGGAGCGATTTAATTATCCATTCACTCACATAGATCGGATGAAACGAAGGAAGATTCAATAGAGCCAGTCCTATAAAACTAAAAGCAATATCTTTGATGCGCGTATGAGATAGATTGGTAAAATGTCAAAAAATATTTTTTATGTAAGTAAATAATCTTGCACTCTTTAAGATGATTGTAAGATTTTTTGTATTGTTTTTATTTCTTTAAATTGAAATTCTCATCAATTATTGTTTTTCAATAGTTTGAAACTTTAAAATCAAATAATAATTTATTTAAATATCAATTAGGTACGTTCAATGTCAATTATCAAAATAAGCTAATCGCGCCACCCCTAAGTCTTCAACTGCCCTATCAAAACGTAACAACCCAATCCCAATTCAACTTGAAATATACCTTATCTTCTTTGTCTAAGTCCCACTTCGCCCCGCGCGTGTCGTAATTTACGACGCATCCGAATGCAACTGGGAGGGTCCCCAGGCAATCATATCGATTCGCTATTTATAGACTGAGCTATCAAACTGCGCAGGTCTAGGTAGCCTAGGTAGCTTTCATCGATATTGCCCGGGACCCGGGAGAGGCAACGGCGCAGGTCTGGATGCAACGAGATGGCCTAGATGGTGTAATATGACGCAATTTGTGCACCGGACATGTTGAAATGGAGGATGCAAAATGGCGTCCATGAAAATATTGTGCGACTGAATGATGAATTTATGGCTTAATCATGAGATAAAGGTCGGTTAAAGATAGATTTTGGGTAGTTTTTGAAATTAAATCTCGTGAGAATCAATTTTTAATGGTTTTGAATGTTTTTTGCGAATATTGGCCGAGTTTAAAGAACAAAGGAATTGTGAAAAATTTTAATTTGTCCATTTTAAAAGCTCGTACGATTCTAAAGACTTTTTTTGAAGCATTTAAAAGTTGATTATACATGAGGTCTTGCTCATTAATTAATATGAAACGTGAAATCTGAAACGTTTTATTATTAATTTGAAGGGCTATTTAAATCTTTGTCCCAATTAGTCAACCCTTGTTGTTAAGGAGGGTCTCTTGAGCCGGCACCAAAGTAGGTACCGCGCAGACTCCGACCTGTTGCGTCTTGAGACGTCCTTGTTGACGTGTCTTAACGACTTTTTCGTCAACTTCGACGCCATCAAAATTTTTCCGATTTTTTTCGCTTTCGAACAAAACAGAGAACGGAACGATTTTTAAGCGGGTTTTTATCTTGATATCGCAATTGAAGGATTATCAAGATCACGATAAAAATTACGAAAAATCGTACGTAACGCGTTAAAAAAGGCCGCACTTAACATTAACATAGGTACACATTATAAAAAATTACAACAAACAAGTGACAAGAAAGTGTTGGAAAATTGCTCAGGGGTAATATTGTTAAATCAAAATGGAGGCGTTCAAAGTAAAATTAGGCAAACTTGTCAAAAAAATCGATAGCAGTGGCAGAAGTTTGTTTGTCAAAAAAACATTATTTTTTAATAAAAAGCTCAAAGAAGGCTTAGAGACACGTGGGATAGCAGACGTTCACAGTTAATTAAAACAATCGACTTACGTGCAGCCTGACCAAACTCGCAATAATAATGATCAGCGCCACTGCCAGGTACATGCACTCGCTTTTCGACCCACTTGGTCTCGAAAATGGACAAAAATGTGTTCCAACACTGGTTTCGCGGAGAAATTTGGAAGCGTACTCACCAATTTGGTAGCAGCGGGCAAAATGACCCCGGCACACCGGTGCGCGCGATCGATGGGGTCGCGCAGGCGCGGTGTTGAAGCTACGCAGTTGCCGAGGCTTCGCTCTGGAGGCTCACAACACAGGGAGGGACAGAAGGACCACTTGGATAGCACCCCTGCTTGTGGCGACTGTTGCTCGCCGCCAACGATGAAACTTGCATTTTGTGTGGTTTTAAGTGTCGGCGTGAACTGATGTAAAATTCTAACCTCAAGAATCAGCAATCTACTTTTAAGAATGGATCTAAGACACTGAATAAATATTGGAGTAACTTTCAACCAATCACAAGCTTGAATTTTCATCCTTGAGTAACATTTCATACTAAAATATTGGTAATGACTCTGAAATAGACTACTCTTAGCAAATACTAAAACTAACTACCATGTATGCGTTTCTCGAGAAAATTTTCACCGTTTCCCAGCTCTACCATGATTTTCTCTATTTCGTAGTTGGTTATAATAGGTTAGTATAAAAAGCAAAAAACTTTATAGAAGGAAGGCTCTGGATGCAGGCCGCTACCAACCGGCGAATCTGGAAATCATTGGGGGAGGCCTAAGTCTGAATTTAAGTCTGCTGACAGTGGACATTCTGTGGCTGAAATAATGATGAATTAGGACATAATTTTCTATTTGGCTATTAGTACTTCTTGTTGTGTTTACACTGACCTTTCTGCATTTTTCTATCATGTATGAANATGAAACTTGCATTTTGTGTGGTTTTAAGTGTCGGCGTGAACTGATGTAAAATTCGAACCTCAATAATCAGCAATCTACATTCAAGAATGGATTCAAGACACTAAATAAATATTATACTAACTTTCAACCAATCACGACATTGAATTCGCACCCATGAGTTTCATTTAGTACTTAAATATTGGTAATTGCACTGAAATAGGCAATTCTTAGCAACACTAAAATTAAGTAGCATAGGTACGCGTTTCTCGAGACCATTTTCATCGTTTTCCAGCTCTACCATGATTTTATCTATTTTGAAGTTGGTTAAAAATAGGTTATTTTTAAGGAAAGCATTGGATGAAGTCGCTACCAACCAGTCGATCTGGAAATCGTTGGGGGAGGCCTAATTCAGATTTATTGCTGACAGTGGACATTCTGTGGCTGAAATAATGATGAATTAGGACATAATTTTCTATTTGGCTACTAGTACTTCTTGTTGTGTTTACAATGACCCTTCTGCATTTTTCTATCATGTATGAACTTCGACATTTCAGGATTTATTTTTGTTGTGACGCCCTCCACATCACCTAGCCGGGGGTTGGGAATTTTCCGACGAGATGAAATACAGATGTTGTATAGCTCTGTACCGAGGTGGGAAGGTGGGATTCAATCAAATGAGGTTGCGCAAGCAGTTTGTCATGTTTGAAATTAATAATCTTATTTTGTTCTAGACTTTGAACTTGATAAAAATTAGCTGCCTGAGGTGGGAATCCAATCTTTAGCTTGGCGTGTGCCAAGATAGATATTTTTCAAGAATTATTTTTTAAAATAGGTATACATTGCCCATTTTGTGTATCTTTATGTATATGAAATAAATTTTTTTCGGATACTTTAATGGTAATGGTTAATATAAATAAAATAATAGATTTTTTGCTAAAATTATCATATTAAACCTTGCCTTACAATAAGTAGAGCTAGCAAGTTCTTACTTAACGAATGCTAATTTAAGTTTGATTAAAAGCAGTGTAAACTCCAAAGTAATTGTAATAATTGGTTTACACCTAATTTCCTACTTACTATCTATAAGAAATTGCTATTGAAATCTTCATCATCATCATCATCATTTCAGCCATAGGACGTCCACTGCTAAACATAGGCCTCCCCCAATGCTTTCCATGTTGATCGATTGGCAGCGGTCTGCGTCCAGCGCTTCCCTGCTACCTTTACGATGTCGTCGGTCCACCTTGTAGGTGGGTATTGAAATCTTAAAAATAAATAATACCGTTACCAACCGGATAACATGGAAAACATTGGGGGAGGCCTATGTTCAGCAGTGGACGTCCTATGGCTGAGATGATGATGATGAAATGTAAAATAATACGCCCTCAGTCGGGTGGATGGACAAAGCTTTTAAAGCTGTAATTGCACTCGCAAACGCTGTGAACTGTGAGCTTATTGAAGAAAGATACGCCTTTGTGAATTAATTAAGTTAAGCTACATCAGAATCTTTAAAAGTAGGCTTTCCTAAACTAAGTATTTTACGCTCGGGTTAACTTAAAATTCAGTAAAATATATTGTTGCTTGAAGAAAACATACTTAAATGAAATTAGAATTTAAATCGACTCGATGCTATTGATTTAACAGTTTTCATTTAGTAACCTCAACAATTTATTTGAAATGACATTAAATAAAACCTCTTTGGTTGTAACGTATTAAAAAAATGTATCTGGCTGGCTGAAAAGGTGACAGTTGAAAATGAAAGATATGAAAAAGTTTAAAATATTTTCGCGCCTTTTCAGCTTTTGTTTTTATTTGACGTTATCTACCACAGAGCACATAATTTTATCTAAGTAGGTTACCTTCTAATGTAATTAATCGAAACTAAAATAAATTGCAAAGAAACAAAAATAAATTAACATAATAATGTTTTTTTTATTTTTGTTTTTTAATTTCCTAAACGACCTATCTAGTAAGCAGGCTCTACTAACATAATCTTGTTGAAGCGCCATCTACACACAAAGCCTGGAGTTTCATTGTCGATAGAGCTTCACGCTGAATCTAGTCTCCCCTCGGTTTGGAACAGTGCTGATTGAGCCAATGCGACACAGATGGCATTATCATGATATTTATTTGAAGTTACATTAATAATAATAATAAAGGATTAATAATAAAATATTTCAATAATGGAGCTTATAAATGACAATATTCAGTAGTCGGCTTATTGACAACAAAAACTTTACGGTCAGTACACTTCTAGATTCACAATAGAGTATTTTTATTTATTTTTTGTTGTCATTGATTTATAATAATTAAATTAATGTCGTTCACTGAAAAAGAAATGATTTTTTATTCTTGTTGTATTTAGGTTGTTTAATACCTACTGGTTTTATAGACAATCTATCTATTATATAAAAGAAAGTCGTGTTAGTTACTCCACTTATAACTCAAGAACGGCTGAACTGATTTAGCTGAAAATTGTCAGGGAGGTAGTTTAGAGCCAGGAGAAGGACATAGGATACTTTTTATCCCGTTATTTATTGCCATTAAGGCGGAACAAAGTTCGCCGGGTCAGCTAGTAGTTAGATAAATACAACTTACTCAGTGTCTTTCGAATTTGCACGTTATTACTGATTGATCCTTCCCTTCAGTCAAATAACGTCCACAAACTGCTCAACAGGTCATAAACGAAACCTTCCAAAGCTGTTCTTATTGCTCTACAATCTCTAATCTAAGTTTTATTAGATTCCTAAAATGTAGTCGTGTATACAGTTCTCCCACAATGTACGACGAATATTTATCTCCAACAAAGTTCAACTGTAGCCGCCATGAAACCATTACAGCGCTTAACGTGACAAGTATCACTATAAAATGTATCACGTTACTGTGCGCAACACGTTGCATGCACAATCGAGGTGTGTATGGTTGGTTCACATAGTACAGGAAACAATATAGAAACAAATACACAGTTGTTTTTGACAAAAGCATTTTTATTCATCATATTTCTTAATAAGACTACTTATCAACAAAAATAGTTTTCAGTTCATGCTTCAGTGAGCATTATCAAGCTTAAAATCGTAATTCACAAATCTTAAAAGTTAGTTTTTATTTGTCTAAGCATAATGTTTGTCTAATATCCGTCTGATTATAACCTTTTAGAATCACTGGGTAGCGCTCTCTGCTCTACAGTGGGATCATCATCATCATCATCATAATTTCAGCTAAAGGACGTCCACTGCTGAATATAGGCTTCTCCCAATGCTTTTCCATATTGACCGGTTGGTAGCGGCCTGCATCCAGCGCCTTCCTGCTGCCTTTATGAGGTCGTCGGTCCACCTTGTGGGCGTCCCACGCTGCGCTTTCTGGTACATGGCCTCCAGAACCCCAGAACCAGGCTGTCAGTTCTACGTACCTACTATAGTGAGATATTCTACGTACACTACAGTGACAGTATAAGGATTAATCCAGTCCTTATAAAAATGTGAAATGCCCTTATAAACCGTGTTATCGTTAATCTAGCTTTAATTACCGGGTGTCAAGCCTACTGTACCACACGTGGGTCCTTGTGACACGTCATAAACCCTTTACGACCCACAGGTGCGACAACAATGTCCTCGCGAACAAAGGTCGCAATTTGTCTTCATCTATCATGCCGTGGACATCGAACCATCCAATCTTCATCGCTCATTGTTAGGCTGCGTTTGGGCAAACTCAAGTAAAAAAAATAATTATGTTTGAGTTCCGTTTACCTTATATGTTTGTATATATATTTTCAAAAGATACGGGTTATTTTGTATCTACAGGAATAAGATATAAGCCTAGGAATGTACCTACGGTATTGGTGCAAAAAGTTGAAAAGAACAGAAACAATATAATTTGGCTTCCGTTCCGTTCTTATTTTATTTTGAACTAAAGCTCGATTCACACATAATATCAGTGAAGCCACAGTTCCGTCACAGTACCGGCACAAAGCGAAATATTCTTTCATACAGTTTCTATCGTCACTGACACTGACACTTGTTTGTCAGATGTATGGGATGCGTGCCGGGACTGTGCCGGTACTGTAACGGAACTGTAGCTTCACTGATATGTGCGAATCGAGCTAAAACCTTCCTCGATTTTTGTTAAGATTGAAGCAAGTATCACTCAATCCATATGCACATTTAATATTCCAGCTTCATTAGCTTTCATTTGATGATTATGTACAATCGCTTACTCAATCGTTGTAGTCATCACCGTCCAGTTTAGCTCACACTATTACTCAATAAAATCCAAATATAAAATTATAAAAAA